AGTCATGCTCGAGGTGGTATGACTCGTCAAACTACAAGATCTATAAAATAATCTGAGAATCACGAAGATGATGTTTATGAAGACTATGATTATGAAGATCACATAGATGTTAATTAAGATAAAGATGTTCAGAAATCTTTCGATGAAACTTGTAATCGAGATTCTCCTGTTAAAATTCGTGATCAAGATTCATCTGTTAAAATCCGTGATCAAGATTCACTTAAAACTTCAAATGTAAATCGAATTCAATATATTCAAAATGATATCTCAGCTATTACAACTTATCAAACCATAAATCAAAGAATTTTACTTACTGCAAATGCAAATCAAGTAACCAATATTACACAAAAAAATACTCAAGATTCTTTAAGTTTTCCTGTTACAACCTATAGTAGAAATCGAAGTGTAGATAGTAATTGAGATCGAAGTTCTTCTGTTATAACTTATAGTAAGAGTTCTGGAAATCAAAGCATAGATGATACTTGAGACATACGAGAATCTTCTTTTACGCATAATATAAAAGAATCTTCTTTTAAATATCATGATAAAAGATCTCATATCGATGATCTTGGTAAGATATTATTTGAAGTTTTTAGTATTTAAAATCTATAATCATAAATAATAAAATAATAATCTATTACCTTGTCAATAATTACGTAGAAAAAACTGATAATTCAAATGATTTTATAGATGATTGCTCCGATATCTATTAAGATTCTAGTAATTCTGTAAAGCAAAAATTTATTTTATGCTACAAACCTTCAGAACAAAAAGAGTTACTAAGCGAGATCCAACCAGATTTAAACAAGCAAATTATTCAAAAAGATAATTCAATTAATTGTGTATGTATGGATTATTATTTACAATTACTTTAATAACTATTATGTTTATTTATTGTATTTGCTTTTATTTATAGACAACACTAGATATGTTAGCGATTCTAATCAATGAAGCAAAGATTTTATTTTTGAGATCACGTGATTCTTCAACTGTTGCGTACGATACATTGTTGAAATCAATAGCTCCAGGATTTTCTGAAAATAATAAGACGATGTCCTTTCTCAAAATGAAATTAGGTTCATATTTTGCAGATCACTGATCCCGTTTAAACACTGAAGCCAGGGCCTATGCTGAAGATTACATTAATAATAACGAATAATCTTGTATCTGAATCTTTATTTTTATTCTTGTAGTTAATTAACTATTTATTTTATTTTAGTACTACCATCAATAATTTACCAAGTGTTGAAGATTTGGCTTCATACGT